TTAAGTCTGGAGACATTAATTTTAGTTATCTTGTCTATAAGAGAAGACCTCGGTCTCAAGTTAAGCATATTTCGTTTCGGGACAGAATGGTGCAAAACCTCACACTTGCGAAATCTCTTTTCGTTCTATGAAGTCCAGATGCAATAGTAGTGAGGGCCCAACTTAATCTGAGTATAATTGTTTTTTGGGGCGCACTGCCATCTACATAAGGTAGACAGTCAAAATTTTTAGATGACGTCATGATGGGGGCATGGCTCATGGACATAATAAAAGAATGTTCTGCTCATATTAGGATTAGAATTTTAGGTTTAGGATCTTAGACATTTTATTGGAATTTATTGTACCTCGTGAATTTTTGTTTTCTACCGTGTATAAATAATGATTAAAAATTAAAGATTAATAGTCCGACAGGAACTGGTTCTGTGTACGTGATCTAGGTACCAAAGCGGAGAAAAATACTCCTTAAAATATACCAAATTTGTTCCAATTATATCAAACTTGTTCTAAATATACCACCCTATTACCCCCGGGGAATTATGGTCAAAAGTGACAAGTGAAGCGTTCTAAATATTTAAAACATGTTTTTTAAAACTTGGTTCGTATATATAAAACTTGATATGAATAGTCAGTCTTTCCAAATAAATTCAACAACTTTGAAATATACAATACTTTCTCAAATGGTGTTGCTCTTTATATACAGATTGAGATTACAGACTAGATTGAGATCAATGTTTAGAACTTGTCATCAGTTTATAAAAAACAGATGGACTCCATGTTGTCGTTTCTGTTCAGTTGAGACTTAAGATTCATGTTTACCCAAACGGTTAGAGATCACGTTTGAGGTTTTCGACTCGTCTTTTGAACTTTAGGAGGTAGGATTTCATTAAGTCATTTACCTCAAGCTTTAATGCCTTTAATTTTTTGCCACGTAAAAATGCTGAAATCGAATAAAGTAACCCTTTTTCTACAATTTGGTGGTAATTTTTAGGCAACTGATAAGAAATTACCTGGCCTTTGTTGTTGTTTGTTGAAAGGCACTGATCCAATAAGTGGAAATCCAATAGGGCGGCGGCTCAGGTTGACTGCGTGTTTTAATTTATGATGCTTTATTTCTTTAGAAAGCTGCACATGTTAGAAAACGAACCTATTTTTTGCTATTTGTTTTGGTGTAATTTTAACAATTTCCAATGCACTGACAGGATGATTTCTATTCGCTCCAANGTCAAAATTTTTAGATGACGTCATGATGGGGGCATGGCTCATGGACATAATAAAAGAATGTTCTGCTCATTGTGTTCTGCTCTGTTCATTCATGTTTACCCAGACGGTTAGAGATCACGTTTGAGATTTTCGACTCGTCTTTTGAACTTTAGGAGGTAGGATTTCATTAAGTCATTAACCTCAAGCTTTAATGCCTTTAATTTCTTGCCACGTAAAAATGCTGAAATCGAATAAAGTAACCCTTTTTCTACAATTTGGTGGTAATTTTTAGGCAACTGATAAGAAATTACCTGGCCTTTGTTGTTGTTTGTTGAAAGGCACTGATCCAATAAGTGGAAATCCAATAGGGCGGCGGCTCAGGTTGACTGCGTGTTTTAATTTATGATGCTTTATTTCTTTAGAAAGCTGCACATGTTAGAAAACGAACCTATTTTTTGCTATTTGTTTTGGTGTAATTTTAACAATTTCCAATGCACTGACAGGATGATTTCTATTCGCTCCAATTTACTCCAATCTTAATCGATTTAACGTCTAAACGGCGAACAGCAAACGTCTGACCTCAAACCACAGTTAGACATTTGCGGTAAACATGGACCTAAAGGACTGATAACAGATGACGTCAAAGTGTGGTAAGAATAGAAACGTGACGCACGAAGCGTTAGTGCAATAAGATAAGATAACCTTTATTTTAATATGGTTACAAATTCGTCAGCTAAAACTACTAATAACTAACAGTAAAAAAAGTAATTAAATAAAAACAAAAATAAAAAAAGCTGCTTTCCACGAATGCCATGCCTTATACATCTCTTTTGAGGTGTTTAAACTGCCTCATCCGGGGACTCTGCTTACCTTAAGTTACAAGGAAGACTGTAGATGATGATAATGATAATAACATTTATAATGCGCATTCTTCTGTTCCAAAGAATGGCGCCACTATAGCTAAAGCTATTCTTATAATAGTTTGTGCGCGGCAATGGTGTGGTGGTTCGGGGGCAAGTAGACCAAAAGAGCTTATACAATAACAACAACAAGATTTATTTCTGCTCCCATTTCTCCGACCACATGCTTCGGTTAACCGCATCCCATAATAGACCAGTGATCATGTGACTGACACGTCACAACAGAAACACTACAAATGGAACATTTAGTTTATTCTCAGAGTCCCTTAGATTATATGAGATTTCTCGCCTCTCGAAGTAAGTGACGTGTTTTGCAAGTGCTGTGTTAGAGGAAAACGAATGACAACCAGTTTCGATTTTAATTTCCTCAATCCAGTTTCCTTTTTCGAAAGATATATCATTAAATTGAAATCTTTGACTTGTTTGTCTGTGTTGTTGATGACACTATGGAGAACTAAACAACAATCAACGTTCACCGTGCAAGTCAACCCTGTATTAGAACGTATCATAGTTAATAGAGGGAATGGTTAATTACAAAGCCGGGTAAACATCAAAGAAGCGAACAAATCAGGCTAAGATTTATGCTGGAAGGTCCTTGACCCTGCACATCTTTTGTTTTGCATGAATTAAATTAGATAATCGCAATGCTTCTATTAGTTAATTGTATGAGCACACATAGTTGCCATTCCCTCTAACTATGGACAAACAGATCACGAACTCGTTGTAATCGAAATCTACACATCTAAGATCTTCGCACTATTACTAGCGATTCGCTGAAAACAAATGCACGTAAACAAGCTAATATACAGAGCATGAAACCAAAACGAAAAATAAATAAACCAAGCAAAAATGACGGGAAAATAACGAAACTTTCAAGATTGTGTGGCGACTACGACGACTAAAACACGACAACTAAAAGCTACTAAAAAACTAAAGGCAGAAGAAGCTTGGTCCTGTCCTCGTGTACCGGTTCACAAGAAGTGTATCAACACCTATCGTCTACCTTTCAACACGTACCATTAAGTCACAATTAATAAAGAACCGATTTACCGACAGAAATAAGTCTGGTGTGGTCTCAGGCTATATTCTACATAAGAGTAACAGCCCAACCATTTATTTCAGGCTAAAGAAACACTTCAGCACATCTAGATTGTATCGAATTCATAATGAGTCAAGCGCGCGAGAATTTACTACTGATGTCAATATGCCTCCCACCCCCACCCGCCCACCACCCAGGGGTGTATCGACTCCCTCTAGCTACGCTATCACTTGTTAAAACTAAGGCCTCGTCCACACGTATCCGGATATTTTTGAATCCTCAACTCTTTCTTTCCGAATTCAAAAATTCTCCGTCCACACGTAGCATATTCAAATCGAATTCGTCTGTCCATACGCATCCAATGGTATCCGGATTCACTCTAGAGGTCTCTAGGGAAACTAGGCCCACACGTTATGCCGCCATATTGGTTTATTGTTCGGTAAGAGATTGGACACGATTTTGCTACGTCATCGGATTCGAAACTATGCGGATTCACCACTGACACGTTGCGGATTTAATTTTTTCCACTCTAGAAGAGCGGATTAAAAAATATCCGGATTCGCTGCCGAATTCGCCGGATGCGTGTGGACGGAAGCTGTATCCGGAAAGAAAAAG